GTTGTGTCTCTTTGTGGATCTTGTTGTGTCTCTTTGTGGATCTGGTTGTGTCTCTTTGTGGATCTGGTTGTGTCTCTTTGTGGATCTGGTTGTGTGTTATCTTTAATCCATTGTATGAACAGACAGACAGACAGCAGAGGAAACTGAAACTCTTCCTCCCAGCGGACTGAACTGTGATGAAGTCTGGGTCCAGACAGTGAAACTTTTAATGAGACAGAATAAATCCAGCAGCTTCCTCGTCTTTGTTTCAGACAGAATCCGTGCTGAAGGTAAACCGACGCTCAGGTTCTACCGTCTGCACACCAGGAGCTGCCAGATCAGATGAAAACATTCCCTGTTTAAGGCCAGCTCTGCTGCCTGCCTCCAGCTCGGCCAGGTCCAGCAGCTTCAGGAGGACCGGAGAAGCCTGGACGGCCAGGGAGGCTCCTGGAGGGGCTTCCACTGGTCACCACAAGGTTCAGGTTCATCACATCCATCAGCCTGAACAAAACTAGAACCTGGATCGGCTGGTTCTGGCTCTGAGCCCAGGTTGTTGTTTGTATTTTTTATTTGTCTCTCTGCATCTGTTGAGTTCATCTTTTTCTGTTTAATTCTCTTTCACTCTTTCAGCAGCCGCGTCAGGTCCAGTGGAGCTGGTTTCTGCTCTCGCTTTGTGGTGGTTTTGTGTCTCTTTGAGGACGTTTTGTGTTTCACTGGAGTTGTTTTGTGTATTTTTATGGTCAGTTTGTGTCCCTCTTGTGTCTTTTTTCAGATGTTTTCTGTGTCTGTTTTGTCGTTTTGCATCTCTTTGTGGACATTTTGTTTGTATTTGTTTTCATTTTGTGTCACTTTGTGGATTTTTTTTGTTCTTTTGTGAACATTTTCTGTCTTTTTGTAGATGATTTTTGTCTCTGTTTTCATTTTGCATCTTTTCATGTCTCTTTGTGGTGGTTTTGTGTCTCTTTGTGGTCGTTTCATGTCTCTTTGTGGTGGTTTTGTGTCTCTTTGTGGTCGTTTCGTGTCTCTTTGTGGATCTTTTGGCATCTCTTTGTTGTCATGTTGTGTCCGGGCTGGGCTTTGTGCCCTCACGTTTCCTCACCATCTATCTCCACTCTGGTTGTAAACCACGTAGCAGCTTCCACTTCTGACCCGTTTCGGCGGCTCAGAGCTGCGAGCAGGACGTGA